ACCCAGGAGTTTGAGCCCAGCCTGGGCATCACAGTGAGACCCTGTCTCTATAATAAATTTAAAAATTAGCAGGGTGTGGTGTGGTACATGCCTGTCAGCTACTTGGGAGACCAAGGAGGGAGGATCGCTTGGGCCCAGGAGATCAAGGCTGCAGTGAGCTGTGATGGTGCCACTGCAACAAGGCAAGATCTTGTTTTGAAACAAGACCCTGTGTCAAAAAACAAAACAAAAAAATCACTACTGAGACAATCACATTTGACTGGTATAAATCACACCTGATAAACTTTTTTTTTTTTTTTTTTAAACTCTGGGAGTTTCTAAAAAAGTTTTTTTAAATAAACTCTGGGAGTTTTTTGCTCTAACTCTTCAGAAAATTATGCCATTACCATTAGTTAATTATCATCTCATTTCATAGTCATATGTTTTGAAGACTTCTTATTTCTTGAAAAATGTATTTGCTATCAGATCAGATTAAGAAAGCAAGCATTCCAATAAAAATGTAAGGACAAGACAATGTGGACACTGGTCTCATTTCACGCATGTTAAGCCTCTAAAATAAGGTTGTAAATATCCACTTCCCTCTACAAAGAGAACTGGATCAAAAGACACACACTCCATTCCGTCTGTTCCCCATCAGACCCACACAAATCAGATAACAGAAGCAGTTAGCTGTCTCAACAAATGTTTAGAAATAGTATGCTGCTTATCAGAATATAACTATTTTTTTTAAAAGCAAAATTTTAAAGCCGGTGTTGTGGCTTAAACTCCTGGAAAACATTCTTTAGTAACATCAAAGCCATCTATTACACCTGGGGGGTTACTTTGGGTTAGAGCCACTGCTAGTAGATAGGACTGAATGCTCAAAGGAAATCACGATCACATTGTGGCAACAGTGCCAAAGACAAAGAGATGCAAATATGTCACCACACGGCAAAGGGATGCTGACTATAGAGATGAAAATATTTGCTTACTGTGTTCCAATGAGTTAATGAATAAACCATAAAGAGTAAACTTTAATTTACCAAAGGGGAAGGAACTTATTATTTTGCTTTTAATGATTACAAAGTTCTACTGTGTAAACTTCGTAAACAAGGAGATAGAGATCTTTCCACAGAAATCTAATAAAATGGCTGGGCTTGGGGGCTCATGCCTATAATCCCAGCACTTTGGGAGGCCAAGGCAGGTGGAACATCTGAGGTCAGGGGTTCCAGACCACCCTGGCAAACATGGTGAAACCCTGTCTCTACTAAAAATACAAAATTTGCTGGGCGTGATGGTGCATGCCTATAATCCCAGCTACTCGGGAGGCTGAGGCAGGAGAATCACTTGAACCTGGGAGGCAGAGGTTGCAGTGAGCCAAGATCTCACCATTGCACTCCAGCCTGGGCAAAACGAGTGAAACTATGTTACAAAAAAAAATTGAATACAATATGGGGGGTAATGTACCAGAAAAATTATGATTAAAGAAGAGCACATCTTTGCATCCACTATTTTACTAACATTTCTTAGAAAAAAATGATAGTATTAAAATTTTTAGTTGAAAAAAATGTATAAAGATCTATTTTTAAAGTAATTGTTTACTTTGAAAAAATAGGTAAATTATTCTCATAAGCAAATAAATAACCTGAGACAAGTAATCTATTGCCAGGAAAATACTGAAAAGAATGTTGAGCATTATATGCAATTTCTTTTTTCTTTTTATTAGAGACAGAGTCTTACTCTGTCACCCAAGCTGAAACAACACACTTGTGTGATCACAGCCCACCTCAGTCTCAAACTCCTGGGCTCAAGTCTCAGCCTTCTGAGCAGCTGGGACTAGAGGTACATACCACCACACCCAGGTATGAAATGTGTTACTTTTAAAATTAGAAAATAATGAAAGAGGCTTGAGTCCATTTATTCATTCATTTATTCAAAAAATATCAACAAGCTTAATACTCAGAGCAAAGTGTTGGAATGATAGTAAATAAACAATTCTTTCCTTTTAGGAGTTTGCAATCTGGCAAAAGGAGAGAGTAATTACGTAAGAATAAAATAAGAGCTCTGACAGGGGTATGCAGGAGGTGCCATGTGTTCACGCAGAAAAGGCACTTTTGACAGTATGCACTGAGGTAGCAGAGCAGAAAATAGGAGATTGGAAGTGAAGGTGGAAGAGGTCTTTCAAGAAAAAGGAAAGGGGGAAGAGCCGCATTACGGGGTGCAGCGTTGCAGGAGCATGAGATGTTCATCTTTTCACTCACTGATTTAGGAATCTTTATTTGCATGTCAAGATGCTGGTGACAGGACTAGGTGCTGGCAATAGGACTGTGAGCGAAACACTTCCTCCTCCCAAGGAAGCAGGTGAGGGACCGGAATCTAGTCAGGATGCAAATTAATGGGGACAAGTGGAGGCAGCATGAAAAGATTTCCCTGGGAACCTAAGGATTTCGTTGCGATCTGGATAGGAGCAGAGTCAAGGCGAAACCGGGGTCAGGGCCTGAGACAACAGAGGAAGTTCAGCTCCCACTTACAGGTGAGAACAGTCAGTATTTGGTTTTCCGTTGCTGTGTTAATTCACCAAGAATAATGGCCTCCGGCTGCATCCATGTCACTGCCAAGGCATGATTTTTTTTTTTTTTTTTTTTTTTTATGGCTGCGCAGTATTCTATGGTGAAGAGCCAGCAGGTTCCTCCAGTCCTTCTCACCCATCCTTGGCATGGGCATCGTCCATGAAGGTTATTCACATGGAACTTTGAGCAGATTCCAAGACACTCCCTCCCAGTCCCCATCAGCTAGAACACCATCATTAGGCCCTTCCTACATTGAAACTGTAGTCACAGATGATCTGAGAGAGCCTTCCAAGCTGAAAAACCGGTACATGTGACTGCTCTGAGGAAGGAGTCGGAAGATTTCTTTGAAACTATTTAATATGTGGAAACAAAGAGCAAGAGGCAGAGTATAAAGAAGGTAGTGGAGGAGCAGGCATGAAGCCTGACATGCCGAGATGAGTGTGGTGTTTATCGTAAGAGCAATGAAAAACCACTGAAAAGTTTTAAACAGGTAAGATAAGATAAGATTTGTGCTTCTAAGAGATGACTGTGGGGAAAATGGAACCATATGCCTTCTGATAATAGACACCATCATCAGCATGGTATTCCTACCAAAAGCAATAACCCCAACCTAATCATGAGGGAACATCAGACAAACCCAAATTGAAAGTCGTTGTATGAAATAATTGGCCACACTCTTAAAAACCTCAAGGTCATAAAAGATGAACTGGGAAAGTCTTCCAGATTAAAGGAGTCTAAAGAAATGACAGCTAAATGTAGAGTGGATGGAATCCACATAAGATTCTGGATGAGAAATTACCATTTTTTCTTTTGTGATAAAGGGTTTCATAGTGAAATTATGAACGGGTAAAAGTAGAGATATATGTATAAGGTATACAGATTAGACACTGGTATACTATCAACAATTTCGTACCATGGTTATGTTAAAGGATATCCTTCCTCTTTGGAAATACACTTAAGCATTTACGGGTCAGGAGAATTATGTCTGCATCTCACTCTCAAATGGGTCAGAAAAAAAGTATGTGTATACATATAAAGAGGAAATGATAAAGCAAATTTGTTAAAATGCCAATAAAGTGATAAAGGCAATTAGGAATTGCTTGTACTATTCTTGCAACTTTTCTGTAAATCCGTAAGATTTCAAATAAAAAGTCACACAAAAAGATGACCCTTGATTGAGATGGGGTCAAGATCAGAACTGAAGAAACTGGTGCGGAGGCTTTAGTAGTGATACCTGTAAAAGACGACAATGACTATAGCAGCACTGAAGAGAAGTGACTGAATTCTAGAACTATTTAGAAGGTAAAAATGACAAGGCTTAACTGTTAAACCCAAGCAAGTTAGAAGGAAAGCGCCACACTCCGAGTTTCAACTGAGAGTCCTTTATTGCCAGTGACCAAAAGGCAGCTCATGCTCAAAAATCTCTTGGCCCGGACAAGGAGGATGTGATTTCTTTTTATACCTATTCTAGGAGAAAGGGGAGGAGGAGTCTGGCTGAAGCGGAATTTTAAAGAAGCAGAATAAGCAAGTTAAGGAAGCTGGAAACCAGGAGGCAGGAGGTTCCCACAGTTGCTGGTCACCAAGAGGGGTATTCACAATAGCTGGGGAATTGCCAAGCAGGATGTGGTTACAACGGTTACAAAGTTCTGGGTACAGTGTGACCCAGCTGTGCACCCGAAGGAGGGAATGGCAGGGAAGTAGAGGCTAAAATGGAGTCTCTCAGGTTCACATCTATGATGGAGTCGGTTTGGTTTACATCACAATCAAAGACTGAATATGGAGGAGTGAGGAAGGAGGCTGAATCAAAGTTAACTCTGTTTTCTGGTTTTTATAAAAGGATACCATTCACCAAGATGGTAACTTGGAGAAAACCATATCTGGAAGGACACGTTTTCCTCTTCTGGACCCAGTCTGATAATGAAAAACAGGTTGAGGGGATATTGAGAGTTTGTTTTGTTTTGGTTTTTTGAGAAATAGTCTTTCTCTCTCTGTCACTCAACCTGGGCTGGAGAGCAATGGCACGATCATGGTTCACTGCAGCCTCAACTTTCTGGGCTCAAGCAATCCTCCTGCCTCAGCCTCCCAAGTCAGCTAGGACTATAGGACCACACCACCATGCCTAGCTAATTAAAAAACAATTCTGTAGGCACTTTGGACACATCAATGTGGAACTTGGAAAAGAGTTACTAACTAAAGATACACATTTGTAAGTAGCTGTTTGGATGGTTATTGCAGCTCTGAGCAATTTACTTTTTATAATTTCAACTTTTATTTAGATTCACAGGGTACATGTGCAGGTTTGTTACCTGGGTATATTTCATTATGCTGAGGTTTGGGGTACAATTGATCCCACTGCCAAGGTAGTTAGCACAGTAGCCAAGAGTTAGTTTTTCAATCCTTGGCCCCCTCCCTACCCAGCCCTTCTAGCAGTCCCCAGTGTCTATTCTTGTCATCTTTATGTCCATGTGAACCCTGTGTTTAGCTTCCACTTACAAGTGAGAACAAGCCATATTCTTGTGTTAATTCATCAAGAATAATGGCCTCCAGTTGCATCCATGTCACTGTAAAGGGCATGATTTTGTTCTTTTTTATGGCTGTATAGTATTCCACCATGTATATGTGCCACATTTTCTTTATCCAGGCCGCTACTGGGGGACACTTAAGTTGCTTCTATGTCTTTGCTATTGTGACTAATGCTGAGCATTTATTAAATGACCATGGTGGAGACTATGATGGGTCAAGCAATGAACAATGAAGAATGTCAATACATGATGGCCAATTATAGGAAAACACATCTCCAAAGTATACAGAGAAAGAAGGGTCCCAGAGATAAGAGGAAAACCGGAAACGCATTATCATGGAGGTTGGTGCTGCTGAATGGTCAAATAAGATGAGGACTGACAAATGCCCATTACATCTAATGACATGGACGTCACGTGGGACCTGAGAGGTTCTAGCGGAGGCGTGTGGGCAGAGTAAAGACTGGACAGGGTTTAGAAATGAAGGGGAAAGAGGAATACAGAAAAGGTCAGATTTTTTAAAAAATTTTAAGCTAAAAGTGAATGAGTATAATTAAATGACAAGATGGAAAAGTCTAAGACAAAGCAAAGATGTAAAATAATTTAATTAGTTAATTACAATAATAAAAGGACTCTGAAAAAGAGATTAGGATGGAATCCAGAGAAGATAAAGCAATTCATTTATACAACAAATACTTACTGAGCAGCTACTACATGCCAAGCACAGTTCCAGGCACTGGGGATACAACAGAGAACCAAATTCCCTGCCTTTATGAAACTGACATGTGGTGGAGAAGACAGACGATACATAAATAATGTACTCATAATGTGACAAGTGCTATGAAGACAAATAAAGCAGCTGAGGGGATAGAGAGGGTGAGGAATACTATTATAGGCAACTGCATCCTGGTCTGAGCAAAAGGAGATACCTTTTCTAAGAAACTGTATGGATAGCTAAGCAACCATTCCACTAGAACTTCCCTGACAGTAAAAGAATGGCAAGGGGGAGAGGGGAGGAAGAATCCAGTGCTGAGCCAGTGCCATGAGGACAGAAGAACTGGGTAAGGATGAGAACGAACAGGAAGGGGAAAACATGCAGCTGGGATTGTCGCCCTCGTCCAGTTCTGATCACCTGGGAAATTCATGACCCCACAGAGCATGCTGGGTTCCCTTTTGGAAGCTCTCATGGTATCTGTATTTTATTTTTTAAGTAATTATCCTAAGCATGTATACTTGTTTTCTAATCACAAGTGTAATAAAATCTTCATCTGTGTGATGTCTTTCTCCCTGATAGACTGTAAGTTCCATGAAGAAAAGTAAGTTATTCTGTTCATCTCTATATCCACTGGTCAATAACAGTGCAGATTTTTAATAAACATCAATCAACCAAACAAACATTTTGTTCTTTGGGGAAAAAAGACAATAATACCAGGTTACTAGGAAACAACCCATTGTCATATAAATAAGCTCCCCCCCCAAACCCCATTTTTGGGTAATATCTGTGGGTGGTACACGTATTTATTTGTTTATTTATTTTTTTTGAGATGGAGTCTCACTCTGTTGTCCAGGCTGGAGTGCAGTGGCGTAATCTTGGCTTACTGCACCCTCCACCTCCCAGGTTCAAGTGATCCTCCTACCTCAGCCTCCCAAGAAGCTGGGATTCCAGGCACCCGCCACCATGCCTGGGGGGGGGGTGGTGGTGGTGGTGGTGGTGGTGGTGTGTGTGTGTGTGTGTGTGTCCCCCCACCATGCCTGGCTAATTTTCTGTGTGTGTGTGTGTGTGT